TATATATATATATATATATATATATATATATATATATATATATATATATATATATATATATATATATATATATATATCCTCTGTTAAACCAAATGAGAAACAAGGATAATGGGATGAAATTAAAGGAAAAGAAAATCAGGATGAATATTAATGGGCAGAAATTTCTTGACAGACATTATTTCGCCCTTCATCACAAAAAGTGTAAATTAAGTTATCATGTTTAAAATACAACCGTCTCTTCTTTCCATGTCCTATTTGTCACTTACAAACAGTGCCTTGTCATTTCAGTCTTGATCAGCAAAAGTCCATTAAGGGTTACCAGAGATAATGCATTTTTTTTTAACATTGATCAAATAAACTTCATATGCCTTCTTTTTACTTTTAACAATCTTATTATTTAGTCCTCTTCAAATAATGTTCTAAAACTTGATTTCTTTTCATATTTTCTTTATACCTTCTCAAAGAATTCCTCAAAGCTTTAACAAGCTTCTTTTGTAAATCCAATGTAGGAAAATTATTCTGATCATTCTCTTGATTTGTTCTTTGTTTATCCCTTTTCATTTATAAAGCATCAGCTGGTTTCTTTTCTTTGTCCAGCATAGCATTTTTTCCACATCATTCTTGTAACCTATTATTTTTAAATCCACTTTCAGATCAGTCTTCGTCTTGCTGGCAAAACTTGCTCCTCTCCCATAACATCAAACACAGTCTATCTATAGAGCTGACATTCTCAAAATTAATGTCTGGGTCCATTATTCCAAATATCTTTCAGTATGCCCAAAGTTAAAATATTTCATTTCATTCTGTATTAGTAAGCAAAATGTAAGTGTTCTTGTCTTTTAATTGTAATCTTTAGTTCCCCTATAGTGTCCAACCTTCAAAGTCACATGCTATTCATGATTTTTTTTAGAAAGAATTCAAAAACTTTTTGCCACAGGAAGTATTCTTATAATTGATTTCAAAACCCTATTTCAAATCCATTTCAAGTCCATTTGTAATTTTCCAAAGTCAAAATTCTAATAATCCTTCTGCTGTTTATTAAAAAAACATTAAGTTCTTGAAGTTTTATTTAAAACTTCTTAAATAGAAATTGAAGGAAATTCGCCAGGTGCTATAACTTGTTAATCCAAAGGTTCTTAATAGCTGAAAAGCAATTAACAACCAATTTCTGAAAGCGATTAGAAAAGAAACCTAGTGTCCTTTCTATGGCACTGACCATAGTTTGACTAAGATAGGCAATACTTCATTTCCTGGAATTCTAAACCTGCCAGAGATTGCTTTCTTGTGGTCTCCTTGCAAGGAGCAATTGTCTGGAGCAATTGTAAGAAATTTCAAATTCTCTCATTGTCCAGAGAGCAATTATAAAGAGTCAGTATTCATTGACTCTTCATTCTGCTGTGGTTATCAGCTCTGTTTTGGCAGAGCCATCTTCAATTCACCATTTATTCCTTAGAAGGTGCTGCCCAACATTTTTTTAAAAGTTGTAACTTTAAGGGAAGTGCTTCCGCCACTCTACAAGCAATGGAACATCTGTTTGACATTTCCAATATTTCTTTCTTGTCTACAGGGGTTTTTAATTTTTCACTGTGGCTCTTTCCTCTAAAAGAGTCATGCAAGCTGTCAAAGTTCCAAAAGATAGAGCCAAATAAATCAGAACTCTGAGGCTAGAGACTTCCTCAAAGAACATGTTTATTGGATATAAAATATTGGTATGATCAAAAATGAAACCAAGTCTAAAATTCCCTCCAAAGAATTACACTATTACAAAGTCAAACTTCCCACCCCAGTGCTGTGCAATCAGCTACATTTCCCAATAGAATAGTTTGGCAGGCTTTCCTAACATAACTGAAAGAATGAACTTGGTTCCCATGGGACACAGAATTGTTTAGACTAGCAAAAATCCTCTGCACACACCCCCCCATTCATGTGGCAACCTAGAATGAGCAAGATGGCTACGGCCAGGTTGTTGTAGAGTTGACACAAGCCTGAAGTACAGGGTAGATTGGATTCGTATAAAACCCCTTATATACATTCTGCAGTTCTAAATGTATGCTTGTCAACTGAAGTCATTATGAGTGTTTCAGTTGACAACATCTATTAAAATGGTACTTGTCTTATCAGGCGTGTCTTTCTTGTAGATTAAAATGTTAATAAATTAGCTAGTTAATATTTGTATAAATCTGAACTAGCTAATTTATTAATATTTTAATCTACAAGAATGACATTCCTGATAAAACAAGTACCATTTTAATAGACGTTGTCAACTGAAACACTCATAATGACTTCAGTTGACAAGCATATAGATTTATACAAATATGAATTATCAATAAATATATATTTTCATCATTTGCTGTATATTTAAATTTATGAAGGTGTTGTGGAGATATACCGGTGAAGCTCCAATCAATCTTGCCAATAATACAAAGCTGTTTAATTGGCTTCCACAGAACGATCTACTTGGTATGTTTGGGTCGGAAATTAAGGGGGCTTGTTTTTAATTCAGTTTTGATTCTGCTTCCAGTCTGTTATGGTGCTAAATATGAGTAGCTTTATATGTATTACCCAACATCAACTAATATCAAATACTATGAAGTAATGCAAACTTGGATGGACCTATTCCCAAAATCTTTTTTTGGGGGGGGGAAGCGAAATCATTCCTCATGGAACATTGTACCAATATTATCCTTTAAAACCTAGGTAAAGCATTGAATCAGACCTAATCTGGCTGTTTTATCATGTTGCTTCTGCAAGGAAATACACATAGAGTAAAAACTGATCAAATGACCCATTTTTCCTATGAACACTGCTTTCCTCAGATGATTTGTGGAGCTCACCTTCCACCTAAGTGTAAAAATGCCTGTTCCTAGGTAAAATAATTAGTATTTTTTCTCAATGCCTTTTCAGGGAAAAATAATGGATGAATGGGTAGGTGGTTTCTGTAGTTTAAGAAGTTTGGCATTTCATTAATTTTTTCTTTTATTTTTTGTGCTTATTAAAAATTCATTTAAAAATGCATAGATTTGGATATTCTATACTAGATTTTTTGAAGAAGTTCCAAGGGTTAAAATTCTTTTGTTCATTCATATATCCCTAAATTAATTACACAAAAACAGCCTGGGTTATTCCTTTTATACCATAATACAAGAAATAGAGATTGAGGAGAATTGAGATCTGAAATAAACAAGCAGGGAGATAGTGCTAAACAGAGGGCCTTTATATTCTGCTCTGGAAATATCCCACCCAGACAAAGGACACACCTATATGAGGTGACAGTCTATAGCTGTACCACAATATCCAATGTTGGGGATTATGAAGAGGAAAGAAGTTTCCTCTCATAATTCTTGAATAATTGTTAATCACATATTAATAGTTTAATAATTACCCTTTGATTTATGCGGCTCCATTTATAACAATGCAAATTCACCATATATAATTACCGTACCTAGAATAAGCATGCTTGTCTTTTTCCACTTAATCTTCTTGAACAGCTCATCCAAAAACCAGAGCTTTTATCACACATGCGGGCTCCCATGGGATCTATGAGGGGATTTGTCATGGAGTACCAATGGTATTAATACCGCTTTTTGGAGATCAAGCAGACAATGCAGTGCGGATAGAGTCTCGAGGAGCAGGAGTAAAGCTGGATGCAGTTAAAATGACATCAAAGGACTTGTCCAACGCACTGAGGACTGTTATTTATGATAAAAGGTAAGTAATAGAAGAGATATGGTAGGGTTTCTCATAGACATTTCTACTTGCAGATACAGATTACTTAGATGAGATAAATAATAAAATACTGTATCCTGTAAAGATTGCCTTGTTATACTGTAATGATTGTAACAGTTATTCATCTGGATTCTGGATCCCTTAATGTGGTAATTATTAATCTGTGTTCTTTATTAATCTATAAAGCAGAAACCTATTGAATATCAATAATTAGAAAATTCATAATGGTAGACAACATTCCTTAAAGAAACACAGTTTTCTTTATTCCAGCACATTTTCCCTTTATAAGCAACTGCAGCAGGGTTTGATGTGTGTTCTAGAATGCATTCTTAGCTACATAGTGGATTCACAAAGAAAAGCAAGTCACTCTAGTGCTCATTGTTAATCTAATACCTTAGACTATCTCTCAGAATCTAAAACTAGAGATCCTTTCTAAGTGGTGCTGAACTTTATCAAGAGCTACAATTACATATTTGGTATTAAACTCAGTATCAATCCATGGTATCATATTTTATAATGCCTAGCTTGCTGTAAAATTATTGTGGCCAGCCGATAATAACAAAAAAGGAGAAAAATGCATATATATATACACAGTAAAAGCACATAACAGCTGCTTTAAAATGAGTGAAAAAATGCAACAGAAAAATAAACAAAATATAAAGTATATGTTGTTACAGTAAACAGTCATAATTCTGTATATAGTGGGAAATTATGCATAAATATTATATGTACACATACACATTTCTAATATAATTATATAACTGTCATTTTTTAACCTACTGGACTTTCTATAAATGAATCCTATATTTCATTATATTTATCCATACAAAGTCTATGCTGATAGGCAATTTGCTCATAAATAACAAGTGTAATCAAGTCAAGTATATTTTTCCATTTTTAAAGCTTTCTGATATAATTGTTTCCAGAGATACTAAAGTTCCTTTGTATTTAGATCCTAATAATGTTTACTCAAGAGTTACTTGGTAACTCTTTTACTTATAAACTTGTTTGTATTAAACAGGTTTTTTTTATTTATATTCCAAAGTAGCCCAAATGAGAAAATAAACATCAAATGTTGCCTTCCCATATTTCATACTTGACAATATAGCTTGATGATATAGCTCCAGATTCATAAAACTGAATTCTCCCTCATTAATTGGTGATTGCATTTTCTGAAAGTTTTATTAAAGCTTATGGTAGCATAAAACACAAAGATAAATATTAAAAAGGGGGTAGGAAGTGTGGGATAAGAAAAATAGAGAAGAGGAAAAAAAAGTTCGCTTCAGATTCTTTCCAACATAGTAAAATACAAATACAATTATGACCTCAACTTTTTATAAAGCTATGGCAAATCTAGACAACATACTAAAAAGCAGAGCATCACCCTGCCAACAAAAGTACGTATAGTCAAGACCATGGTTTTCCCAGTTGCAGTGTATGGCTGTAAAAGTTGGACCATAAGAAAGGCTGAGCGCAAAAGAATTGAGACCTTTGAACTATGGTGCTGGAGAAGACTCCTGCGAGTCCCCTAGACCAAAAGTTGATCAAACCAGTCAGTCCTAGAGGAGATCAACCCTGACTGCTCTTTAGAAGGCCAGATCCTGAAATTGAAACTAAAGTACTTTAGCCACCTAATGAGAAGGAAGGACTCACTGGAGAAGAGCATAATGCTGGGAAAGATTGAGGGCAATAGAAGAAGGGGAAAACAGAGAATGAGGTGGCTGGATGGAGTCACTGAAGCAGTAGGCGTGAGCTTAAATGGACTCCAGAAGATGGTAGAGGACAGGAAGGCCTGGAGGAACGTTGTCCATGGGGTTGCGATGGGTCAGACAAGACTTCACAACTAACAACAACAATTATTACAAGCCAATTCTATAATTACACTACTTATTATTATTTTTTATTTCAAGCATAAAAAGCAGAAGCAATATCCCTGTAAGGACCCACTTCAATCCACATCTTAAGAAAGCAGAACTCTTGGAAACGGTCTCTTCCAACAGGAACTTTTATTAAAAGAAACTGATAGCGGGCATGATAGACAGGATCTGAGGGATTCCCTTACAATGTAATGTTTTAAATTGTCCCTAAACAGCCCCCCACCCCGCAGTTCTTCCGGGCAATTCAAACCGGCAGATTTCTAGGGGTTAACTCCAGGAGATATAACATCGATCCGGCTCCATTGGCACGATCATTCAACATCTCCTCACACAGATCCCAGATGCTGCATCTTCCCCCCACCTTTCTCTCGCTGGCCGGTAAGGAGGAGTTCAGAGGGGCATAGGATGAAAGGCAAATGGCTACATTGTTATGGTTAGCAGATCCGAAGCGAATCAACAAAAGGTTACTTTGTAATGAATAGAGGAAGTGAAAGTAATAAAAACCCCATGCATACCCCCCTCCCCTTAGTAGTATGAAAGAATCCAGGAGAGAGTAAAATTGGTTTTATATCAGAGAAGATAGGTAGGATGTCATGGTTCCGAAAAGAAGCAGCTTTTCAAAGAACTTTGAGGCTTTATTTACCTTAAAGAATCCTTTTATTGCTACATAGCTTCGGTACGTACATAATGAAGCCAAAAATTGAATCCTCCCACCCCCAATCACCCGTAACAAAGCATAACTCACGCCTTCATTTTACAGTCATCAATCACATTCTCCAATTAGTTTGAAGTGTGAATTGTCCCTCCCGTACTCCTTCTGTTACAGCTGACCTTGGCAATGCTGTATTGAAATATTGTTATGGTTAACTTGCATACTTTCCCATCCGCTAGGCTAGTATTGTCTGCTTTAACTCTAGAAGTGATATACAGGCTAAATAAAACATGTTTGCTTCTTCATATATGGCAAGCAAGAACATCCGATGTTAGCAGTCTTGACATCCGGTCCCCCTTACAAAAAGGACAGATCCTGGAATGTAAACAAAAGCATAGGTTAAGGGTTATTTTTGGGTTTGTTGGGGTGTTTCACATGAAACCTTTTGACCAATCTGTCAGCTTTTACTTCACTGGATTTCACCCAGGTGGCTTCAGATAACGGGTATCCCTTCCATTGTACTAGGTACTGCAATTTCCCATTAAAAATTCTAGAGTCAAGAATATGTTTTACTTCATAGTGGGTCTGTCCCGCAACTATGAGGGGCCCAGATGCCTTCTTCGGAGGAGGTCTTAAAGTGGAGCCCCGATAACGTTTCAACAAGCTACAATGGAAAACTGGGTAAATTTTCCCTAAAAGTCTAGGGAGTTTTAGTTCTACTGTGACCGGGTTGATGATCCTTACTATGGGGAAAGGTTCCAAGAATTTTGGTCCCAATTTCTTGCTGGGCAATTTGAGGTGTAAATACTTAGTTTACAAATAAACCTTTTCCCCAACTTGGAATGTTCTTTGGGGAGCCCTCTTCCTATCAGTCTGCTTTTTATAGGTTTCAAAAGTCTTTTTTAAAGCAGTTTTTGTGTTTCTCCAAACTTCTTCCCACCCTCTCACCCACTGGTCAAGTGTCTGGGAAGCGGAGGGCACCTGAGGTATTGGGCTGAACTCTTTTCCTGTGGCCACTCTGAAAGGTGCGTAGCCGGTGCTGCTGTGCACAGAATTATTGTACGCCACCTCCGCAAAAGGGAGGAGATCAGTCCAGTTCGTCTGTTGGTAAGAAATGTAGCATCAAAGATATTGCTCCACCATTTTGTTAGCAGATTCTGCAGCCACATTGGTGGCAGGATGAAAAGCAGAGGATAATCGTTGAGATGATCCAATTAATTTAAGAAAACTTCGCTGTGAACTGCACCCCCCTGTCCGAAATTATTTGCTTAGGGGCGCCATGCAGCCGGTAGATGTGCTTCAGGAACAATTTGGTCAATCATTGGCCAGATGGGAGTCCTTTGCAGGCGATGAAATGAGCCTGCTTCGAAAACAAGTCTATTACAGTCCAGATGACAGTATTTCCTCTACTTTCAGGTAGGTCTACTATAAAGTCCATAGCTATTTCTTCCCATGGTTGAGAAGGGTCTGCCACGGGTTGCAGTAACCCAGGGGTTTTCCCTGGAATTCTTTTCATTGTGGCACATACAGTACAACGTTTTACATAGTTTTCCACATCCTTTTTCAGCCCCGGCCACCAAAATTGCCGGCGGGTGAGGTGTAGGGTTTTCAAATATCCAAAGTGTCCAGCCTGTTTTATATCATGGCTGTGTTTGAGAGCATTAAGACGGAGGGCTTCTGGCAAATATAATTTCCCCCCTTTGTAAGCCAAGCCATCCCTGCACGTTATAGAGGTGTGATTATCTTTGAACCATTGATCGGTGAGGAGCTCTCTTTTTATTTTCTTTACTCCGGGGTCATCAGGATTGGGGACCCTGCGAGGTGTAAGTTGATTAGCAGTTTGTGGATTGGGGATAATAACCTCGTTAATCTCTTCCCGTTCGCTTTTGTATTGGGGTAGCCTGAATAGCGCATCAGCTAGGAAGTTTTTTCCTCCTGGTATGTTCCTCCTGGTATGAAGTTGAAGCGGTTAAAGTACTGTGCCCATCGCACTTGTTTTGGGGACAATTTACGGGGAGTTCTCAGTGTTTCTAGATTTTTGTGATCTGTCCATACCTCAAATGGCACATTGCTCCCTTCTAGATAGTGTCATCAGTTTAATAGCGCCCATCTAATCACGAAGGCCTCTTTCTCCCAGATTGCCCATCTCCGCTCGCTGTCAGTAAATTTCTTAGAGGTGTAGGCGCAGGGTTGCAGGACCCCACTTTTGTTCTTTTGCAGTAACACAGCTCCAACTGCCACATCGCTGGCGTCGGCTTGAATCACAAAGGGTTCCCCTGGGCAGGGGTGCTTTAGGACCGGTTCAGCAGCAAACAGTCTCTTTAAATTCTCAAAAGCTGTTTGACAGCCCATTGTCCATGCTAGTGGTTGGCCCGGCCGTGGCTTCCCTCCTCCTTTGCCTGTTTTGAGTAGTTCTGTAAAGGATAGGGCAATCTCAGCAAAAGAGGGGATGA